CATATCAATATACTCATATCAATAGTATAGCAGTAGTATATCAGATGCTCATATCAATATTAGATATATATCATATACTTATTGCACAAACACTCATATCATAGTTGTTTATGCATAAATTTGGTCTCATGGGATTCCGCCAAATTCACACCAATCTTCAAGAATAAAAGGGATCGACGAGACCTACAAAACAGAATAGTATTAAAGACGGTGTGTGTAACAACCAAAAAAAAAATATATATATATATAATATTTAAAGTATTATTTTTATTTAGTTGTTTTCTTTATCTTCTCAAAAAAATATAAATTTTTGTTTTAAAAGTTATTTTTTAAAAGATAATTTGTTCTTAGAATTTAAAAATAAAAAATAAAAAGAAAGAGTTTTATTAAATCTTTATGTTTTTATTATCGTTTTTAAATAAGGATTCATTAGGGTTTCTTATAAAAGCTGTTAAACCCTAGGTTTTATTTTTCTTAAATTGCTAGACCTAGTTTTCTCTCAAAGAGAAAAAGAAAAGAAAAGAAGAAGAGTTTTGGTATTTTCTCTCAAAGATCGGTAAGATTTTTTTCCTCATTGTTTTAGTTTTATTTTTTCTTGATTTGTAGTTCTTTAATTAAGTTTATTGGAAAAAGTTTTGAGGTCTTTGTTTTTTTAGAATAAAAATTTTAAGGACTTTTTATCCTAAAAATTTTCCAGAATTTTTTGTTTGAATTTTTTTGTTTATGAGACTGTTTTTGGGCTATTTTGTTTACCTATTTGTATCCTATAAATTATAGTTTGTTGTTATGATTTTTACACGAAAAATTATATGTTTTTATCAAGTTTTAAAGGTTTTCTATACGATTTTTAGATCTGATTTTTCTATAAAAATTAGTAAATTGTTAATTGTTTTATGGAAAATTCTTGGAAGTTTTATTTTATAATACATAAAATTTTTCAGATTTAAAATCCCCAAATTTTCAATTGTTTAGAAGGTTTTTAAGCTAGTTTTATTGACGAACTTTTTGTAAATCTAGTTCGTATTGATTTATATCGATTTTTCTATTTTTAAAGTTTGTTATTGTTGAATTTAGAGGATTTTTAACCTAGTTTTCAGATCTGGTTTTGTAGCCCCAAATCCATACTTTCCTAATTATTTTGTATAAAAAAATGTTTTGAATGAGAAAATTTGGTAGATAAGATTTGAGTTAGTAATTGGTTGAATTTTAAATCCTTGGATAGGATTTAAGGATTGATTTTGGATATTGGTTGTTTCTAGGCTTCTAAGTTGACAACTACCAAGGAAGAACTAAATTAGATTCCTAGGATTTCTGAAAGAGGTAAATAATTTGCCATATCCTTTCGAAAAGTATTGTAAGTGATTTGCCATATATTTTTCAAAACTAAAATGTATTTTGGATTTGATACGACGATTTCAAATTGATATCTTGCATATTTTGTTTATTTGCAAAGTATTTGAAGTATTCTTATATGATTTGATAAAACTTTGTTTAGATTTATTTAAAGGTTTGAAATTGATATTTTGTTTATTTGTGAAATATTTGAATTTTTCATGTTTTGGAGGATTGATAAAATTTGTTTTAAATTAGTTCAATGTTTTGAATTAATTTAATATTGAAAGTAAGTATTTGTTTTGCATTTTATCTGAAAGATATTTTGATTGATTTGATACGGTTATCCGGATATGCCATGATTTTGTTTTGAGGAACGTTTTGCTTATTTGGGGTAGTAGCCAAATTTGGAATTGATGGATTTCTATTCTGGCTTATTTGTGGGGAGGCACTTTTATGGTTTGACATTCCTTGCGAATGAAGATTCATGTGTGTGTTATTCACTCACATGACCTCACACTTAAGTAACTCTATTCTGGTCGATATTATTTCGGCAACTCTGTTCTGGTCGATATTATTTCGACAACTCTGTTCTGGTCGATATTAATTCGACAACTCTGTTAGAAGCTTCTAATTGATTGGTGTTACCGACGGGTAACCACATATGTTCTGTAGGCTACCCAAATAATGCAACCTTCCACTCTGATTTTGAAAGTATGAATGAATGTAAGATTGTTTTGAATGATTTAGTTATTTGAAAATTTGAAAGTTGTACCAAATATTTTAGAAGGAATTTTGAAAGTTTTGATTGAAAGAAAGTTTGTTTTAGAAGGAATTTTGAAAGTTTTGGTTGAAAGAAAGTTTGTCTTAAAGGATTTGAAGTTTGATCGAATGAAAACTTGTTTCGAATAAACGAAAGTTTGTTTTGAAAGAATGAAAGTTTGTTTTGATTGATTGAAAATTTTATCTTATTTGAAGACTTTTGTTTCTGAAAATCTAGTTTGTTTTGAAAGTTTTGAATTTTGTATTAAATATCTTAAAGGACTTTAAAAGTTTTGATCTGTTCATATATTTGTTTACGAATGTTATGAAAGGAAAATGAATTTCAAAATTTGATATGTTCATATATTTGTACTCATCTTTGTTTTTCTAAATGTTTTTCAGATGAAGRATTGAATGATCGTTCTGGTAGAAGGTGAAGTTTAGCATACTGACATGAGTTTGAAAATCATCTTCCTATTTAGTTAAGTTAGTTTAGAAAAATTTTGTAAAGAAATTGCTTCCGCTGAATAATTTTAATTCTTAAGGTTTATTGAAAGTTATGTTTCTGCATTTTGTTAGAATGACCGTATTGGAAAATACGGGTTGTTACAGTGTGGCTCTTGCCACACAGGCTCCGATGCTTAAATAATAATCGAGTATAAAATGTAGAGTGTTGTGAGCATATCAAATTCGAATCCTGATACATCTAGGAAATCTAGTTATCTGAATCTAGAGAGATCTCCTTTTGAATATAGGATATCTTCTCCTGAATCTGAAGGTCATTAAGATATCTTCCCTTCTGAATCCCTTGATGAAAGGAAATTGGGATTTTCTCATTCATAACAATAGTCCTACTCTCAAAGTTGAAGATTATCAGACGTCTGGTTTGAGAGTATTTTGTTGTGTGGTTGGCTGCAATCAAGTCTCTTGGGCTCAGCTATACGGTTGGTTTTAACCGTTAGATTTTGGTCTTGGGATCTAACTTTCAGTAGGTTCACTCTTGAGTTTCTAACTTGGCTTTTTCCCACAGTTTTATACCCTAAGTTTTACTCTTGGGTTTCTAACCTATTTGGCTTTCGCCAACGGTTTTATACCCTGAGTTTAGTTGGCACCCTTAGGTTTCTAACCTATTTGGCTTCTGTCGGTTTTTTACCATGAGTTTAATCAATACCCTTGGGTTTCCAACCTATTTTGGCTTTTGCCAAATGGTTTAATACCCTGGGTTTCGTTGACTGGTTTGACATTCCTGCTTTTTGAGTCTGTCCTAGTTCGAGTTCCTTGACCAGCTGTTGATTAACTTATCCATGCCCCCACTTGAGGAGGTTTTGTTTCAGCATCAAACAAATAATTTTCTCAACTATAAAACATAGGAAATAATTTATTTACCTCAAATTTGAATATCATAGTAGAATAACAACATGCTTAATTTTTATTTAACAATTCATCATCTTCAACCATCCCGGGCAAAAATAGCTCTCGATTTACCATACTCCTCGGATGACAATCATCATCGAAACATTTTTTATCTCTCCAAAATTCATATTCTTGGCTTTTAGATCTCAGACGTCCCAACAGACGGCACCAATTGTTGATGCATAAATTTGGTCTCCTGGGATTCTGTCAAATTCACACCAATCTTCAAGAATAAAATGGATTGACGAGACCTGTAAAACAGAATAGCATTAAAGACTTGTGTGGCTCTTGCCACACAGGCTACGATGCTTACGTTAGAATCGAAGTAGTTGAGTATAAAATGTAGAGTGTTGTGATCATATCAAATAGTAGGGATTTGTAGCATACCTTTAGGGTTTGGCCTACTTCCCTATTTATAGAAGTTAAATCATGATCCCTCTAGGAATTGTGGAATTCGAATCCTGATAATCTAAGAAATCTGGTTATCTGAATCTAGACAGATCTCCTTTTTAATGTAGGATTTCTTCTCCTGAATTTGAAGGCCATCAAGATATCTTTCCTTTTGAATCCCTTGAATAAAGGGAATTGAGATTTTCTCATTCATAACAGTGATATACCAAATGTATATCACATACAAATTGCAAGTACATCAGACACCCATATCGATAATATATAAGATGAATATCACATACATATATTAGTAGTCATATATATTACAGATATATTACAGATATATTACAGATGTATATCATTTATATAAAGTTGTCATTTTAAAATTGTACCTCTATTTTTTAATGCTATATTTGGGAAAACTAAATATGGTTACTATTTTGCTAATTTTACTAAATGTTTTTGTCGTGCAACTGTCCCTTATTTTATTTGTATCTTATTCAATAATATTTTTACATTTTTGAACTTTTCAAAAACTTGAAGAAGAGTTTCTTAAATACTTTTGACTATAATTATTTAAAACATCAAAATTTAGAATTAATAATCCCAAATCATTATTTAAAAAACATCAATTTTAAGTATCTATCTCAACATAGTATTATATATTTGTACTAAAAGGGTTAGATGTTTAATCTTCCACTCCAATATTGTTTAACTTAAAAACAAATTTAATATTGAAAAACTAAGGGCCCGTTTGATAATGTTCCTATTTTTGTTTCTCGTTTTCAATTTTATTCAGAAACCTAATATTTTGCTACTATTTATGTTGTTTTGTTTCTCATTCTTTTCATAAATATTCACAAAATTTTATATAAATTTTGCAAACAATAAAAACAAACTTCTTATTTCTTATTCTCATTTTCAATTTGTTCCAAACATAAGTTTAAACATTGTTTTATTCATCCTTGAAATTCTATTTTTCTTTCTTAAAAAGGAGGAAACAAAAATAATAAATGAAAACGTTACCAAACGGACATAAGTCAACGGATTAAAAAACATTAACAATTTTACCATTCAATAACATTTTAAACAGATGTCTCAAATAATCTAAACTAACTCAATTTCCGTATTTCATAGTTGGGTCAACTTGGTTCCATCTATCATCTAGTACTTATAGTTGTCACGATAACTAGAAAAATTTACCATCCAAACATTATTGTTTCGAGTCTTTAGAACTTATAATTCCCTCCAAGTTACCATTTATACGTAACATTAACATTATATTATATGAAGTTATGATCCAAATTATTCCACAAGTTTTCAAGCATGGCATCTTCCAACAGCCAATCAGGTGCAACCGTTTGGGCATTACATCCAGCAACTCCATCCCAACCTCCCAATGCACAAAATGGCTCCTGCTTCTTCTCCACAAATTCCCCACAAGGACTTGGTGGCCATGCTGAGACTATTTCAGGCCATTGTACTGAACCTGGCGGTGAAGCTGCTCCTCCGCCACCATGGTTGGCCGGAAGATGGGTGGTCTCCGACGAGTTCGGTAAGCTCGTGTTGTGGAGAGATGGCGGAGGGAAATTGAAGGAGTTTGAGGTTGGGTCGTCCATGGCTTCAAGAACATTCAGATGGCGAATGACATCCAAAAACCTCCTGTTGTTCGCCTCAATTTTAAGCTGACGTGCCTGTTTTTGAACCCTCGTTCTCCAGAAGTTCTTTATCTCATTGTCTGTTCGTCCCGGTAATTGCTGTGCAATTTTTGACCACCTACAAAATTTTTAAACAAATGCAATAAAAATTCCAAACCTAATTTTTAATAGTGAGTTTGCTAAAAAGCAGTTTTGCAATTTTAACAACTACTAAGTGCTTTCTTTTGAAGTGTTCTTTTTTTCATCTTTTTTAACCAAAACATTATTAACAGTTTTAAAACTGCTTTAAATAAGTTAAAAGAATATATTTTTACCCTCTTTAAAGATCATCCAAACTCACCCTAATAAGTAAGAAGTTAATTCCATGCTTACTGGTCAACATCCAACTTATACAAGATAATCCTTCTTTGACCTAACCTTAACTTAATTTTTAGTTTATTAGATAGGTTTCTAAGTTATTAGAAAAATATTACCCATTTGAGTTTTGTGAATCAAATTAATATTATCATCGACTATATATATAAGAACGTACCTGTTACCCCACTTCGAATGGAGTTCGAGGATGAGGAGTTGTTCTTGGAGAGTTAGATTCCCGCGCTTAACATCGGGTTTTAAGTAGTTGAGCCATCTCAATCTACAACTTTTTCCTGTCCTCTTGAGCCCTGGAAAATAATATGCTGAAGGGGATGAGACAATTAAACGGAATTTACATATTTGGAAGTAAAACAATAAATGAAAAAAAAAAGGTAAATATATTTAAATTACCTGCTTGTTTGGCCAATATGTTCCACTGCCCTTCTCCATGACCAGCAATATAATGAATCAACAACGTGTCCTCTTCAATAGTCCATGGCCCTCTTCTTAGTTCACTAATTTCTTCCCCACTAATTGGTCTATTACTTAGACTTTTTCTCACAGCTTCCATAGAGAGAGAAACTAGGGAGTGAGAGAGAGAGATTTGTTAATTATTTGAGTCTAAATTTTAAAGAGAGATGTGGAAAATAAATGGGAATAGGCAAAGGATTATATAGAGAAACGTCCAAATAAAGGCTTAGATATTAACCAATTGAAAATACCAAGCCTTTGTAAATGAAAGGGGGCTTCTTGCCTTTTTTGCACATTGCGTGAAAATTGGAATTTTCTGAAATGGGGCAATGAGCTAGCTATCCAATTTCTTTTCCTTTGGTTCTTACAGACAGACAACTTTTTCCTTAAAATCAATGAACAATGAACCTGGTCAGGCCGTCTCAAAAAGTCTTCTGGGTTTAGAGTTCTTGTCTGTATTATCACTTAATTTTCCTCTCCAACTGTCCCATGATATATTATTATTCAAAATCAAAACTTTTCCGGTTTAAATGATGACCACTTTCCATTCAATTTATGATTGGGGTTGTTCTTGATGTAAGAAAAATATCAGGCTGTTCTATCAATGCGTTTTCGTTTTAATTTTCCAGAATTCATGCAGTGTGGCTTTTACGCTGGTGATCAGGGTAAACTATTGTCTAGGCTAAGTAACATTGTGGCTAACGCAGGGTTGGAATTTCAGATCTTGAAGTAGGTGATATCTCGAGACATCAAGTGCTTGCCAATGCACTATCCCCAAGATTATTGATGGGTTTTCGTTGTATGACGTATTTCTGAATGAATTATTAAAAAGAAAGGAAAAAAAGAGTTGAAATTTAAAAAGCCTCAGATGGAATGGAACATATGAGAGAATAGTTTTTGGAAGTGATTCCCAATAATATTACGTGACAAAATGATGCCTTTCTGATCTCTCTCCTTTGCTTTTTCTTTTTCTATTTACCTTCTTAGAAATCTTGTTTGGAATTAATCATTTTTTATAGAGTTTTAAATTAGTGTGCTACATTCTCATAGGCTTACATTGTCCTATCCCAAGGGATAATTACTCATATTCCTTAAATGTTTTTTTTTTGTTTTTTTTTAAGGTATGAGTGCTGATGGACAGATATATCCTCCACTAAAATAGAATGAAGATCGAAGAAAAGAGCAGTGGGCATATATATATGTTTTGTAATCTTTTCATAGCTAGAGAAAAAGAAAAAAATTGTAATTTTGTGTATTGTAAAATCATTGAAGATTCAAGGGGGGCATAGGGGATAGGAAAAGGAATATATTGAGCTTAAAATGACCTAAAAGAAGGGTATATATTATATATAAATAGCTTTGAAAGTGTAGCCTATGGTTGTGAGGCAATATAATATAATTCTAAAGATGGGGAATGAGAACAATAATGGATAAGAGATATGAATATATGATTGAGCTGTGTATCTCTTTTATGAGAGAGAGAGAGAACAAAAATTTGAAAGGAATATGGACCAAAACTTGAGACGTTTTTTCTTGTCAGTCATTAATATGCATGTTTTTCTTACACAAAGATAAAAGAGAGAAGAGAGAGAATTTTTCTTTTTCTTTGTTTTTTTTGTTTTGAAGTTCTTATTCATTGGATAAGTTCGTTTTCTTTTCAGACGCTGTCATTGTAGCTAGGTGGGGGTGGGGGCCGGGCCTGCCATGGGGCTCTCAATTTTTCTTTGCTTCCTTTATGATCTTTTGGTATTTTATTTTCGGTAAACGTTTCAATTTCTTGTTTCTATTTTCTTTTTATCTTTCGCTCCAACACCAATAAATTTATGAATGATAAAGCTAGATTTGTATTAATGTTTTGTAACAAATAGAAATGAGAAGAAACAAGAAACAAGTTGATGTTGTAACTAAAATTTCTATACAATTTTGAGAATGTTTTCAAACGATGATAAACAAGGAAAATAAATCATTATTAAATGCTTAGGTTTCTTAATAAAATTGGAAAGGAGAAATAAGAAACGGGACATTACGACACACGCTGTTAGTTTCTTTTATTTTGCTTTCTATATGATAAAACTATATTTGTATTTATGTTTTGGAACAAATATGAAACGGAAACAAAAAATAAGAAACTTGTTTTTGTTCTTTCTAAAATTTCTATACAATTTTGAGAATATTTCCTAAAATGAGACACAATGAAGATAAATAATTGTTAATGCTTAAAGTTTGGTAATAAAAATGAAAACAAGAAATAAGAAAGGATAACATTACTAGAGGAGCCCTTAATTTCTTTGATTTTTCTTGTTGTATGATGAAACTCTATTTGTATTTGTGTTTTGAATCAAATAGGAAACCGGAACAAGTAACAATAAATTTGTTTTTTAGTTTCTAAAATACAATTTTGAGGAATTTTTCAAAAAATAATAAAAAAGGAAAATAAATAATTGTCAAATGTTTAAGTCGTTTCTTAATAAAATTAAAAAAGAGAAACAATAAACGAAAACATTTCCAAATAGATTCTTAGTTTTTTTATTTTTTGCTTTCTGCTTTGGTCTTTTTATTGTTGACCGAGCTCAAGAAACACAAAATGCTTTTAGATCTCCATAATTCTTAAACTAACCATTCCACATAGTTTCTTCAATATGCTAATAGTAATGGAAGTGCCTATGAAAAAGGAGAAAAAACTGTGATTTTGAATAGATTTGGTCATGTTAAAGTAATATTTATGTTTCTTGTTTATCTTTTTATGTTTCTTGTATCCTATCTCGTAATAATAAAAAAAACAAAATTATATTGTATAAGTTTTCTTTCTTTTTTATAAAAATAAATAGGATATGTTTGGTAACCCTTTCTTATTTCTTGTTCTCTAAAATGAAAATTAATTTTTCAAAATTACATATATTCACATTTTTATGTTATATTTATGTTTGAAAAAACTGAAAACATGAAAAAAAACAAGATATTGATTTTGTTGTTTCTAATGTTTCTACATAATTTTTGGAATGTTACTTAAAAATGAGAGACACAAAACCTATGCAGTTACCAAATATTTATTTTTTTAAAATTTGTAAACAAAAAAGAAGAAACAATAAATGGAAAAACATGTTATCAAATTGGCCCTAAATAATTCGATATTCGATTGCATATTAAAAAACGAAATTTAAAAAGACACATGAAAGCAAAATTTGAGTAAAACCTTTATCTAATTAACAAGTTTCAAAAGCAAAATTTTTCTAGTACTCAGACACAGACACATATTTACTCTGTTTGTTTATACTATAATTTTTACTTTCTTTGTTTATACTATAATTTTCCGTAATTTAGCTCCTACATTTAGCTCTATAAAAAAAATATTAATATAATAACAAAAATATAAAAGATTATTACATTATTTAATGAGATAAAATGGTTCAAATAGTGAGAGTCCATAACCAAAACATTGGTATTTGGCCACTTGAACTATACTTGAGGTATATTTTAGAGTGATTTTCGCATTACTAGAATCATTTCTACTCATGCCAAAATCTTTCAATTTAAAATAGAATACTTGGCAAGGATTCATAAGTTATTTTGGAAAATACAAAACAACTTTATGTGATTCCCGCTCAATCGCTCATAAGGTGATTCCCTAAGTAAATTTTTACTAAAAAGTTAAGAGAAAATTAATTTTTAAAATGGTTATTGTTTTAATTTTCAAAATTTTCTTTGTATCGACGTTATTTTGACCTTAAATATTGGGAGTTTTTTTTTTAAATTTTTGTCACTCCCTAATTCTATTTATCTTTAATTTTGTTTATTTTCTCTGATTGTTTCCTCTAAAAATTTTTGTAATCTATCTCTTAACTTTTAGTTCTCTATTTTATAAGTTTATTTTTCTATCTAAAATGTTTGTCTCTCACCCTCTACAATTTTCTCTCTGATATTTTTGTTTCTCCCTAACAACTCTCTCTCTCTCTCAAAATTTTGGACTTTGTATATTAATCATTTAAAACCATTTTTAATTATATAAAAGTCACTTGAAAATTTGTGTAACCAAATGTTAAAATAATTATATAAAAATCAGTTTCACAAAACAATTACCATTAAATCTCATTTGCTAAAATCACTCCAACGTTCTCAAACAAGCGGATTAAACCTACTCATATAATTGATTTTTATTGTTAGGTATGATTAGTTGTGTCTATTTGGGATAGGGATTACAAAAAAGTATTAATTTAACTTAATACTATCATTTAGAAAATATATAATAAGAAAGATGCTACATATCATGTCCAGAGTCAAATAAATGATTTATATTTTAATAGTCTTTAGGTTTGTAGCCTCAAATTTGATATATTTGAATTGTATAGAGAAATTAAATGAGTTATAAAAATTTAGACTACATGGTTCATGTTTAGTTTGTGATCGGGAAAAGGTTCAAATCTCACAATGGGCACCTATCTTAGGAACTAATTCCTATATGTTGTCCAACATCAAATGTTGTAGGATCAAGCGGTTATCCCGTGAGTTTAATCAAGATACGTGTAAGCTGGTTTGAACACTCACGAATATAAAAAAAACAATTATAATAAAAAAAATGTTTAGTTTATCAGAGTTTTTCATCTCTAATCGATCAAAGTAAGCGTATAGCTTTACAAGCTTAAGAGAATTCAATATATTAAACTAAACTTAGGCTCAACCTTTAAAATATAAGTTATACACCTCCAATACTAAAACAACTGTAATATTATGTTGATATTTGATTAAATACTATGTAACTATCATGAGTAATTCATTCGTCCAAGAGGATCCACGTAAAAATAATTTAGGGACAATAGATTCAAACTTCATGATAGCTACCTACCTAAGAGGTTGTTCCATGAAACTAGTCGATGTGCGTGTAAATTGGTCCAGACACTAAAGAATATAGATTATATATATATATATTATGGTGATAAATAAAATAAATTGGGTTGGATTTGAAATATGTCAAATAACATGATCTGATGATGTCAAGATGAATATAATAATATAAATGGGGAAAAGAGCATTGAATTCAGCCTTTATGTGGGAAAATCCAAATACTTAAAAGGGGAATGTGAGGAATCTGTCATACTCAAGAATTGTGTGTCACACTCACAAACAAAGCTGGGATTTTCAATTCCACTCCAAGCTGTGAACCACT